TTTCAAACTCGACTTCCTCGAAAACGAAGGCTTTAATGAAAAAAAATTTTATTCCTTCTTTTCGACTCGTTTTTGTTTAAAATCATCTTTTATTTGGTTTGTCGCACCCTGTATATTCGATAATTGACTTGAAGCTAAGCATCAAGAAGAAGTTAAGTTAGGTCGTACGACATCTGTTTGAATAATTAGAAATGAGTTTGTCTAGTATGTTTGTATCTAAATTTTAAAATAGACAAAGATCTTTTCTGTTTGGTCATGTATATGGATTATTTATAGGAATTAACTTCAAACAATAAGATAAACGTATGGAAATACTTGTTAAACGTTTCTTGAAATTTAGGGTCAGTTATGCGATCTTATTTCAATTCAGAGACTTCAAGTACACAGCCATTGACGTTACTGACCATGAATTACTGCCCATGAATACTAAACGAGTCATGAATTATGCATTGTATTTACAAGCCTAAAAATGGACATTCACCATTTTAATGTTCGAACAAACGTATGAAGTGGTCGAGTTCATTTTTACTTCTCTGTTTGTTGTTTCTTCGATTAGCATCACTAAAAAAAAAAAAAGAAAAAAAAGAATATTATTTAAAAGTAATTTCTCAAAATAAGCAAACTAAACTAACATGAAAGAGGGTAAAGTATTAAAAGAGACAAATATCTCGCTTGGCTTCACAATTTACCATCGTCCCTTTGATCGGCATCGATCCGGACCAACTTTTCTCACTTGTCGTGTCGGCTAATCGAAATTCCCTGTCGTCCAACACAGATGCACCTACTTAACTCCTCGCCATCGAATCGCATCGCTCTTAATACCCATACATACTGTAACCTTATTCCCAAGAATGCATTAATCCCGAAGAGACTGAGCACAGTGACAATACATAAATACAGTAACTGTGAAACGTACTTATTACAACATTGATCTTCGTACTGAAAATTTATTCTGGTGGAAGTTTCCATTAACGTCTCAAAATACTGATAAATACCCAGAATTTTATATTTGTGGTTCTTCCTCCCTTCCCTCAGAGGGAAATTCAACAAAACAGTTCGGTGTATGAGTATACTCGTAGTTACACTGGACGATATAGAGTGCAGCAGACTTTTTGCGACGTGACAATTATTTACGCCAGACGAGCATGTCCATCGAGAGTGATTTAGCCCCCGGAGCACCAGGACGATTTAGCTCTGTTAGCTTCAGACCTCTGGTCCCCTTTGTATTCCCATGACAGCTGTCCACGGCATACTGTGCGATAATTCATTGAATCTAGGTGTCGATAAAATGTCACGGACAGCGGACTATAGGCTGGACAAAGCTTCTTATCGGCTGAACCGACCCGATAACGAATGATGGAATCTCGAATACGATCGAGAGCCAGCCGTGTGCCCGCGTTTCTGCTCTCTGAGGATCCACGATAATCCGAGACAAAGTGTTGCCGCTTGTAACGATCTGTGAAATGGATTAATAGGATGAACGAAATCTGCATGATGATAAAAAAATGACATTTCTAAATAACGTGGGTGATGAATAGGGTGATGGATGCTCGTGATTCGGAAATGGATTTATATTATACTCGATGGCGGATCGTGGGCACTGCCAAATTGTAGTATCCCCAATTTTTCTTGATATATATATATATATATATATCAAGAAAAATTATATATTATATATATATATATTTATTTGCTTGTAATATCATCAACAATCCTGTCCAATTCTCTTACTTTGCATAATAATAATAAAAATCCACTGCATTTAAAGTATGTATGTATATTTATTCTTTAGATTCTTTAGATATTTTTGTTAATTTGTATGAATGGTATAAGTTATGATAATGATAAACCTTGTGGTTTCTCTTTTTGTTGAATATTTTTCATGATAGAGATCAAGCTGAAATCTGTCAATTGTCCAAAATAATTGAAATATGGATCTGTTTTATTTTCCTTCTTTTTTTCTTTTGTTAATCATTCTCAAAACATTTTACTATGTGAAAAACGACAAGGGAAAAATTATCATAATTTACATACTTCACGTTTTTAGGACGTAAATGTTTTAAAATTCAATATACTATCAGTCAATAACATTTTATTAGTATTAGATTAATACTAGTTGGATCATTTTTTTGAATACTTTGCGCAATGAAATGTGTAAGAAATACTTCACAGATTTATCTTCAAAATTCTATACGTATATTTGCTGTAACAAGTTGTTCCCTATTTCAGCTATACCTGTTCATCAATTGGCATAAAAATTGTGAATTCAATAAGGATAGATTTATCATGTTTCTCTCGTGTGAACTTGTCATTACGTAGAATGAGATCACGAGTTTGCCATCTTTTCTTATGCGGCACGACTTTTAGAATATATAACAAATAGTATAATATTTCATCAGTTTTATACACTCGTTAGATGTTCGTTTTCAATCACACCTACCTCCTATAGATTCTTATAAATCTTTGTCTTGATTTCAGCTTGGTGGTCAAAGATACGTTATGAGGGAGGGAAGACCTTACTGTCTTCGATGTTTCGATGCCTCGTTCGCCGAGTACTGTGATAGCTGTGGCGAACCAATCGGCGTGGATCAGGGGCAAATGTCTCACGAGGGTCAGCACTGGCACGCGACCGAGACTTGCTTCTGTTGCGCCACTTGCCGTACGTCCCTTCTCGGACGGCCTTTTCTTCCACGGAGAGGTGCCATTTATTGCAGCATAGCCTGTAGTAAGGGGGAACCGCCGACGACACCGAGCGATTCTTCTGCTGGACCACCACCACCACCTTCCTTCCTTAGGTTAGTTATTGTTCCGGCTCTTGCAATTAGGAAAGAAATATAGAATTATTGTTAAATTGTTGGTTGAAGGTCAATAATTCCAAAGGAGGATACTAACTTACATGTTAACAATGCAGAATTTAACTTCAAATCACGTTCTATATATGTATTCTAACAAAACATAAAAGTTGAAGATTCAAGAATTTTTCTTTCTTTTATGAAAATTGTCAGTTTAAATAATGGTTGGAGAAGTTGATAAGCGAAGAATTCTTTCTATGTTAATAATTTTTCATTCGTTATTGACAAACGTTTCGCTAAAATATCATTGCCTCTCTGTTTGAAGTAACATTCTATCTAAGATAGAACTTGAAATCGACCTAATGAATTGCAGAACTGGTCGGAGACCACCGCCACCAAGCGAAGGTTCTTCGAGTCCACCACCACCTCCTCCACCTCCGCCGCCGCCTGGATCCAGACACACTCTATGTTCACCTCGTAACTCACCACGGATGAACAGGAAGCATCATCAAACGTCTGCTTCCCTCGCCACAACACCTACGCAAAACACCTTGAGCCCCGAATTTCCTAACGAAGGATTTTCTTCGAGCGGCTCGAGGCCGAGTGGCCTTGACCGAGTGTTGCTCGAGAGAAACCTCGAGAGACTGCTTCAGGAACGCAGTTCTCACTCGGAGGAAAATCACAACGAATTAGGAAGGTGAATTGACTTGCCAACAACTTGATTTTCCTATATAAACGAACGTGCAATTTTGCTACTGCTATTAACTTTTAACTGTTCACAACTGTTTTAAGCAGTTTTCATTTATGTAAATATTTCTAAAAACGTTGACAAGAAAACGGGCATTTAGACACGGGTGTATAACAGGTTACCAATCTGCAGGCGATGCTCCATGCAATCATTCATTCTTTCCCAGCTGTCCTTCCGTTATATAGTACATGACATGTAAATTTGTATTTTCCCATCAAATATATATGCATTGCAATATGAAGTAAACTAAAGCAGTCACGCCAATCCAATTAACTGTCATGAATCTTCTGTTCGTAGACTGATGCAGGCAAGAGACCGTGAACCGTTGAGATGTGTTCAGAATTGCGCTCCTACCCACGCGTCGAGTATGCCAGAGTTGCCGCCACCTCCCCGGCCGTCGTCCGGAGCGTCCGCGTCGGCGTCGACATCCACATCGACCGGAGTTGTGGCGGCCGCGATGCCCGGGATCGTGTTGGAGACGACGGCATCGCCGACGACCCTCGTCGTTAGCCAAACGGATCCTCCGACGCCAACGTCGCGGCGTGTGCGGTTCCAGGGTGACTTGGACGTGAACGATCACGCTGCGGCGTCGTCTCGCGTCACCCTATCGCCGAGCAACGATAGGAATTCATCCTCGTCGCCCTCCCCTCCCCCAGCGTCGTTGTCGAGAACAAATGTGTCTCGATCGAGAAGCCTACAGCCTGAAGAAGTCGCTAGCACGTCCGCCTGGGGTGCGTAAACTTCTCTACTTTGCATAAGATAACGCAGTTCCTTCCAGCAATCGCTCGTTCTTCTTAGAAAAGGGGAATCGCCGAGCTACGTGATGGATGGGTGTGGATGGTTGTTGAGCCTAATCTTGAGATTAGGCTTGAATCTAGAAGAAGAAGAACATTCAAAAAGATTGACCTACGTTTCATTGCACCGATTGCTCTCATTCATATCAAGATTTACTGTATCTTATTATATCTTATGCACTTAAGACGTCTATCGCGGACATTAAATAATTTGCTCTATTCATCTTGTCGATTGAATTTATCATATTTTACATTGAATATCTTTAGAATAGTATGCTGTGGCCGCGATACAACTGTTATGCGATCAACGTGCTTGTAATGATTTCATAACTTGCTGCAGGTATTGCTGGAAGCTCAAGGATAGACGGTGACGACGACGACGTCGAGTCTTGCTGTTCTACATGTAGCTCCTCGAGCAGTTCCGACGAGGCTACCGCCTACGCTTTGCCGCCAAGAAGAGCGTACGGTGGCGTTAGGATTTCGTACGTGCCGAACGATGCGGTGGCATGCGCGAGAAAACGTACACCGACATCCTCAACGTCGAATCAAACTCACAAGGACACAGATAAGTGCGTTGTATCCTGATGACATGCTTCGAAAGTTTCAACATATATCTGCGTCTATATTCGATGTACATTATTCATCGATGCAGGAAAATCGTTTTCGCTTCACTGTCAGGTGACGGTGATCCGATAACATTTGTATCAGTCTCGAACCGACGAGCAACGTCGCAAAGAAAACGAACAAACGAACGCGAATGCGAGATACAAGAGTTCCTAAAAATCGGCGTGACTAGGATTTTTCTGCCACGTTCCCCGCGGTCGAGACTCAAACGAACGACTTCAAATACTCGTGTACATAATGAACGTAACAATCGAAATAATCGGTCGCGAATTACACCGAACAACTCGCGACGATCGCGACGTTTCTTTTTCTATTTTTATTACCCCGATGTATTTGATAATAATAACGACGATGATAGCATTATATTTTATTACCATTTGTCATTCCCGCTGCGTAATTGACAGTTCAAACGGGCGCCGTACCCCTATAGGTCATCCTATCTTGGTCTCCTCAACTTCTTCAGGCAATAGTGTATGAGGCGATGAACCCAGCTTCGTGAAACAAATAGTATTGGTAACCGTGATGTGATCGCACGACATTACATTGTAAGTACAAATAAAAGGCGCTCGGACCGAGATGTAGACAATCTGAAAAATATTCGGAAAATAAATTGATATTTGATTTATCCCTTGACATTCTCTTCATTTTCTTTTTTTCTTACGTTTCTTTATGCCAAGTTACATAATATTATTAACACAAGTATAATGTGCAGTAAACTGTAATTGCTTCTTCATCATCTTGAGGATTGATTGTATCATTTTGATCTCTCACATCAATATCAAATCACAAGACATATAAGTAAGATTAAAGATTACATTTTCAATTGTTTTGACCTAAGCGTATTAGGTTGCAGGTATATTTGTTTCGTAAACGATATCAAAAAGAAAAGAAACAGAATGAATATATATCATACAACCTAATACATATATCTTTCTCTACTGCTCCAGCAATAACCATCCAAACCGATTTAACTATCAATGCATGAAAAACTCGCTTTCTAACGCAAAGGTAAGATTAATCATAATATAAGCAAAGCAACGTTTGGAAAGCTTGTAAAAGCCTCGTTTGAAGATTAATGGAAATCAGTATGATGAACTATATAATGGCAAGATCCAAGTAACAGCGAGAAATCTTTTGTTAATGTTCCATGTTTCTTGAAAAAGTTGTGCTACTTGTTGCTTGATATTTCTACATATATTACTTCACGTTTTTAGGGACAACATAAACGTTCCTCTGATTATGTTACAACAATATGAACAAAACAATGATACCCTGATATTTATCTTCTAATATTTCTGATACTTATTGTGCATTGTCTGCGATAAGAAGCAAAAAAGAGTTCTTGTTTGTTTCAGTGAGGATGTAGCTTAAGTAGGCAAAAATACAACGATGCTTGTCGTCCGATTAGAAGGGGAAAAATGAAAACGCACGGTCGAGCAGCGAAAACAGCGAAAGTGGTTTCTCTCGGCCGCACCAGACGCCTGTTGTTATGCCACTATCTCGTCTACTTGTTACACTCATGGTTACCCTCTCTCTCTCTCTCTCTCTCTTTCTCTTTCTCTTTCTCTTTTTCGCTTTCTCTTATTTCACGCGAGAGAGATCTCCGGGTTTTATGAAGGATCGCTGGAAAAACACAAACCACACCGATTTATCATCTGCCAACGTCCACGTTCCACGATCAAGCATCAAAAAAACACTCTACATTGCGAAAAAATGGCGATGCCACATTAACATATGGCGTACACTGTGCTCTGCATATCGACGTAATCGAAGGTTCGAAAACGGGTGCGTGAAATTACACATTGATTATGTCATGGTAATATCTGGTGGAACAACAGGTACGCGGAATTATGTAACTGCTTGGGAGATTTCGTGACTTCGTGCTGGGAATCTGTGAAGAATTCTATGACGAACTGTTACAGTGTTAGACCGGTTTTGTAATTCTGTATTAATTTGGTATACTGTTGAGACAGATGCAACTTTGCTTTATTTGATGTTTAGGCGTCAGCAGATAGTGGAAATGATCTTGAATTTAATTTGTTGCAGAGTGATGAGACAATTTTTAATTGTCTGTTTCTTTCTTTGTGTACAACAGTTTGCTTTCTTGGTCTATAACAAGCGTAAAAATCTTGGTCTTTAAAAGTTTTCTCTCTCCTTTTACGCGGCTCTGACATGCACGTTTCCAAACGCTTGAAATAGCCTGAAGTTCGCATGTTTGAAACAGTTTTACTGGTCAATTACGCGAACCAACGTACAGACGTTTTTCTTAAAGAGCCGTCATTCCTGTGTTTATTGTACACTTCGCTAGCTACTAATGCTGGTAAAAAATGTATAATGATAAGTGTAGAACGTTTGAATTGAATTTACACGTAAAATTTTCAAAAATTATAGGAACATCAATCGAGTTTTCTTTAATTTTCTTTCTGAATTTTTTCCACGGTATAAAAAATTCCAATAATGAAACAGATTGGAATTAATTTACATTCTCATTAAACAACATATTTCTGCAAACCTGATAAGTTGTTGCAAACTAGGCCGAGATTGCGCAACTATATAATGCATAAGTGACTCGCAGCAATTGTATACGCCTGAAGGAAAACACACATTCGCATGCTCCTTTTTACGAAATACTATTCCTCGAACATGAAACACGGACCATTGTGCCATTAGGTATATGAAACTCATGCTCATTTGTATTGTTTCTGTGAATTTACCTGCAATATAATAGCGTATTTTTTCCAGCACATTCACCTACAGCCTCTATGCCATAAATATAAAGTTAATCGTAGAATCCTACATCAATTTCCAATATAATACAAGATCATTTTTGTATTATATTGACTCTATTGACTTTTTTTGATCATAGACAACATTCTGTAATGTAATAAAAAAAAATTATTGTATCATTATTATTATTATTAGTATTTTTCAAATTATTATTATATTTATTATTAATTAAAATTCTCTACTAATTAATCCTTCAAACTCCAAAACTCTCTGCTAATGTTTTATCTGTGTCATATTCAGGTAAACCTAAATGGCCACCTGTACAGCTTGTCCGTTTTGCTTATCTCTTAACCTAAAGCTACCAAAAAAGGCACAAGTGCTACGCGAAGGTGTTCGTGCGCCGTGGAATGTAAAAAATAATGGCCGTGGAAGGAACAACGACCCACTGGCCATAATAACATACATGTAACTCTGCTTGTCATTCCATATACATCTAGAATTTTCGTCGACGCTTAATGACGACACTACATGGAAAGACAGCCTTCATAGAGCCCTTCTCCTCTTGTCTCGTTACACACCTTGAAGGCATTTCTTACCACACCAATAACAAATTCAGAATCTTACGCTTCTGATAAAACTGCGCTAATCGGCAGAAGCTGTTTCAACTTACTCTTAAGAGACGAGTTTTTTTGTTGCTTTGCGAAGAAGATGGCACGTATCAGGGAGAAGTATGAGAAAAATGGCAACCCTAATGAAGATTGTCAACTTCCTCAGAACTACCAGCCAACCAGTCTCGAAAAACAGTTGTAATAAATTTCGATGAATATTCAACAAACCCGTAGAAGAAATACCTGCCTCATGTATTGAGAACTGAGGACACATTATTTCAAGTAACGCTCGTCATGCCTTGACCGCTCCTTCTTAAATCACGGGGTTGAATGAAATCTCGTTTTCCCGTTACATGGAATCTGATTCATGCACGAGTCACGCCGACCGGCGCGGAAAGAGAACGCATTCTTACCTATGCTGCCTTCATCTACCGAATCTCCGGCTATTCCACGGATGTTGTACACTTTGCAGATACGCCCAAATAACGTTTCCAAGAAGACTCGACGAGGTAACATTGATGCCAAGAAATTCTCCTATCTGATTGCGAGGAACGCGTATGCGAAGAATTTAGTCGCGCCCCCCCCCCCCCTCCCGCGATATTCATGTTGTGTTTATCGTTGAATAGACGGACTTTTGTAAAGAAATTCCTGCGGGATGCCAATGGGTATGCGAGGTGTACGACATTCAACCTTTTGCGATTTAACGTTGACTGAATTTCAACTGTAATTTAAGAACAATACAAAATTAATGGAAATTTCCCGTCAGGGGCCCCTGATGATCTTGAATTGATTAATTTAATTTGTAGATGATGTAGCGAAAGTAATTAACATAACATTGTCGGACTGTGAAATATGAAAATAATTTCTTTTTAGGAGATATGTTATAACATTAGCTTACCAAGCTGATTCAGCAGTTGATGGGGCCATAAATTTAACAGTGTGAATAGCAAATGAGAGAAATCGCGTTCAGGAATGCAGTGTAGCTTACCAATAATGGACCAACGATAAACACAACTGGAAAGAACGATTAAAAGACTATAATATAAAGAATATAAAGAAAGCAATTGAAATAACAGTAAAAGCTTACGGAAATGAAAAACAAGCATAATTGAAAATTCAAAAAAAAGAATAATGAATAGAAGAACATAATATGAATATTTAATAATAAAATTATAATTAACAGAGAAAAAAAATAATCCAACCTGTCTCTGTGCCAAGAGCAGAGAAACCAAGACAAGTGAGACTCGAAAGAGAGAAGAGGAGAAACGATGGTACGGTGTGTTGCACGAAAACGTATCGAAAATTTCACCTGGCCAGCAATGGTCGATTTCACGGATAGCAAGACCGTGTCAGAGGCTGAGTCGTACGAGTTAATCATACGCGACGCAAGTAGGTCGACCTGGGTAAAAACAAACGATCTGCGCACGCGGCGGCGCGATACATATAATTGGTCAGCGCATTGCTAGCAGCAAATCCGACATACATTCCAGCGCGGATCCTGACTACTTACGTTTCACCTCGCTGTGGAATGCAGTCACCTTGTGGCAGGTGTAGCGTACGTCCTCAAACCTCATACTTTCCCCGATTTGAATTTAAATGTGTCTTCATTGCCACAGGTGCAACCAATCCCCAGGGATTTGGTTGAATTAATCGCTTCGGTTTAGTCGTCGTGACACTGATTATTGTTTCACTGAAACATTGATTATTGCTCGATGTTTGTTCTAGGATTTTTAATATCAGAAGAAACAAAATACGTTGGATATTTTTCATTAATTAACAGACTGCGAATATTTATGCAAATTTATGTTTTTACAAACATATTGGAAAAAGGTAGGATCTAAAATAGATACTTGTTTTATTATGTACTGAACTAACAACAAGTACTTTAAGTATTCTACACTTTTAAATTTCTTACAAATACATGAAAATTGGTAGTTCATTTAATTAATATATTGCACGGAAATAATATAAAATGGTAATAATATTTGTAAAATTGAAAAAAAAAAAATTCTACCAAACATTCATGTATGTGTTAATAGATTAAATTTAATTTTACTTACACTCATAAATGGCACGTGTTGAAAATTGACATGTTATGTAACTGTGGGTATACTACTAGGATGAATAATGAAGGTACTAGCCTTGAGCTGACACATTATACTATCTATACCTCACACTCTTCCTATATAACATAATATACAATGTCTAAATTAAAATAAAATTATATTAAATAGTAAAATAATATAATGATATTACCACTATCATAAGAATGATAGTGGTAATGGTAAATCTAAGTGAAAAATATATAATATTTATATACTTATTACTATGACTGTAATTATTTGATGTAGCACAAAGATATTTCATTGATCGTCCCAAATACCAATGACTCGTTGAAACAAATAAATGAAAAAAAAAACCAATGGAAATATATATTTTGAGTTAAATACATACGAATCAAACTAACGGATCTATGGAATTCATTTACGCGACCTCTGGACGGTCATCTCGCGGTTAAATACGCGAGAGGCTTTCTCCATGGATTGGAATGCAGCCTCTCCCTCTGATCAGGTCTCTGGCTTGCTCCGGCGACAGCCATGGAGGCTTCCAGGTTCGCTCTTTACTGATTTTAGATTCCTCAAGATAGCTACATGTCGAAGAATTAAGTTCCGCTTGCTTTCTTTCTTGAAAAACATAGTTAACGAAGTTCATATTTTTAATTTAATTGTCAACAACGCAATGTAAATAGATCTTCCGGTCCGCGTATTTTAAATTTTGTCGCATTTCCTTCTGCGTGGCAAAGTGTTTGAGAGTTCTGAAACCAAAGTTTTGAAGAGATACCTGATCAAACTTTTTCTTCTATTGACTAAAAATTTTTTAATTACATGTTTTATGTTTGTTTACTGATCGTGAAGTACAAGCCAGGATTTTTTAAGTCACTGAACATTTAGAATCAGAGTAGATTCTATTCTTCTACATTATGTTACACATTAGAAGTAGAGTAGATTTTTGTAATTGAAATTCAACAGGTTCCGCAAGAGTATGTACTGATATTCCAGTAATTTTAGATTGCGAAATATTATCTTGCTGGTGACTCAGTAATTAAGCATTTCCAACGTGATAGCTCGCGAAAAATTATCCACGCGTAGAGCCGTTTCGATTGGAGAGCAACCGCATACTGCGACGTGATACTGTACACACATGCAGACAGAATTTGGACGTAGTTAGATATTAAATACAAATAATAATATATCTCTGAATTCTTCGTGCCTAATAATATCCTTTGCAATCTTTCAGTCTCAAATTACATTGAATCCCTTAAACTTTGGATTTTTTGAGATGTTGAATCCTTGCATTATCATGACTATGTGATTATGTACGTTCTTTTATTATTAATTTTTGAAATCCTTTTGAAATCCTTGGTATCTGAATTTTTTGACTTTGAAGATTCATGGATTTTTATGTCTCTGGAAATTATATATAGATCCTTATACACTTCTTTAATAGAAATTTACGGATCCCGAAATTTTAGATCCTTTACCTACTCTTAATCGTTGATTTCTAAATTTTATATTTTCCAACACCAGAAATCCACGGACTTCATTGACAATTGCTCTCTTTTAATTGTTTATATATTTCAACTCCAAATCACACATCACTTGGTTCTCTGCTCTTCCTTCATTTCTATTCCTTAATCCTTTAAATTTCTGCGCATTGTAATGTTTAAACTTTATTTTCATAATATACTTTGCAATTATTTTTCAAATTTTTGCCTCCATATTTCAAGTATTAGAGATTCCTTAAATTCCAGTCTCTCTAAAAAGAATTTATAATTCGTCAAAACATTGACAGCATTTGGCAAGAAACTTTTACCAGGTACAAAGCACGAGACCTATTTGCCAGTCTGTACGCAGCCTAAGGCGCGAATGAACACCGCTCGATCAATCTGTAGGCCGCCGCGTGCCTGTGTAGCTCGCTTTCCATTCCGATCGAAAGGTTTTGCTCTTGCCGTTACCAGTTAAAATCTACAGACACTGGTACAAACAAGAGATCTAATTCGTGCTTGATGGCCACACTCACTGTGCGAGCAAACTAAACTGAATGAAATTTAGTTTTCGTTTGAAGGACACCCCTTTCTCGATGGGTCGACGGTATCGGAATACCGATTCGCCTCGAAGGCTGAATTGCATCAATTTTTCGCGATCGGAGACGCAAACTCGTTGGGCAAGTAGAATTTCGCGATTGGTCGTTGCCTTCTACTTCATCGGCCAAAGTTACTTTGCTTCTTTATAATCTTCTTAAACCATCTTGTATTATGGTACCCTTTGCATCCTGATGACCAGTGGCTAGGCTATTTCTAACAATGGAATTTATGAGAGATATTTTCATATCACTTTACTATGCTGGAAAGTCGACTTTTGATGAGAGTTTTAGAGATCTTGATCGACCATCAGCTACAATTTCCAAGTTTTAAGTGTATATCAGCCGAGGTTATTATAAAGATCGTATAAAAAATTTTTACATACATCGGAGATCTATAAAGAAAACATTCTTCGTAACATAAATTATTGAAATATTTCAGTATATCAAATACCATTTCAAGATCCGTCGTAACAAGAAATAAACTAAATTTTGACATTTTCATCGTGTCCACAAAATTGAAGACAAATCGGTGACCCGAATATCATATGTTCTCCCTGTCAGAGGGAGCCAGAGAGCGCAAGAGGAGACGTTGAGCTGCCATGAGGCATCGTACCGTGGTGAATATAGGGAAGGGGCATAGAGCAGGTATTCAGGCGAGCGAGTAGGCAGCCTTAAGAAAGCAGGCAGTCAGTAATATGGCGGGGAGGGGAGGGGAGGGGGGATAAACGTAAGGGGCCATACGAGAGCGTAAAGTGAGGTTTCGCTCGCGGCTGCTTTGCAATGCCAGGCAGTCGAGGTAAGTCGAGTTGAGTCGAG